AGTGTTCACACAGGTTTTTTGCTAAACTGATATAAAATCACATCTCTTCTTAATGTAGTTCTTTGTAGACAATCTACAGAAAGCTCTTTTTCTTCTTTTACAGTGAGTCTAACAGGAGTGAGTTCTCTTTTTCTAAAAGCGTCTTGATAAATATCCATTATTTATGCATTATTTCAGTTGGAGCTGAAAATTTTATACAACTTTGTCAAATGATTAGATTCATGAAAATTTATGAACAACACTTTTGGGAATAATTTTTTATCATCATGGTGACAATCAAGCAAATTAGTGTCTTATCAGATGTGACAGAGACCAGTCCATAAGAAATGTTACAGTATGAGTAAAAACAATTTTCAGGGCTTACATAGCTCAAAACTTTTGAACTTAACACTTTAATATGCTAAAAAAATATCCTTTTTCTTAAAAAGCAGGTATTTATGTCTTCAAGCATCTCACAGATAAAGTGAGGTGGGGTAATGTTATGAAGTGTTTTTATCTTTGGGTATAGAAGTTAATTTCTGGAATTATAAAACATTTACATGATCTAAGAAAAGGCAACACAGAAAGCAAACAAACTTATTAGAAAAGACTTGAAGTAAGAATGAATAGAATTCTTATATGTGGAAATGGGACAAAATTTAGAAAGAGTGATTGGATGATGAATGGACATCTATAGCAGAAATCACTTTCTGTAAGTCTCATTTTAACTGCACATTGTACAAATACATCCTCACTGGAAAAGAGGATGTTACCCTGTCATGGAATAAGTGCTTATAGATGAAATTTCCTCACCTCTCTGAATGTAAAGATGGGACAGATATTGTATAAAATAAATTTGCTCAGAAATTTAAACAAAAATATATGAAAAATGTTTTGGAATATTTTTTTTCCCTGAAAGGTAAGAGTTATATATGAACACAGAATTCCTTTGTTTTACTAGTAAAATGGCATATATTGAAAAATAGAATTGTGGCAAAACACAAAAGCAATGAAACAGAAAAGAGTGAAAAATCAGTTGGCTGTGATTTAGTAGTTTACGGATTTGTTTCATCCTAGGATTTTCCAAAATTTAGCTATTTGATTATACAAACACTGCTCAGACTGCCATAGAGAACTGATGATAAATTCTTGCAAGGAAGAATAAAGGGAACAAAAGGATCAGCTGTAAGGATTTTTACACTGCTATTGTGAAGACAGCCACTTTTCACATTATTGCCTATTCAGCTTTTTGCTGCATATAAGATAGGAGCTCTTGAGCACCAGACTAGAAAAAATTCTATTTATACTCAAATGTGGTCATCAAACTACTGGCAGCATACCATATTTTTTTTTAATAATCTATTGTTATCGTAATCTGCCAAGCCCAATGCTGAATCAGAACTTAGCTGTGTTAGCCATCATAATGGCACATAACAAAAGACAGGATCCCTGTCCCAAAGAGCTTAACAAACACTATTTAAAATATATGTCAGTATTCAGCTGGTAAGTTTTTAATTTCCTGCCTATCCAGAACTAAATGTATTCTCTGAGCTCAACCTAGAAAATGTCAGTTGCCTTCCATAGGTCTTTAATTTGTTCAGAGGGCTCTCAGCCCTTTAACAGATTGGAATCCCTCTTTTCTGTTAGATCCTTTGAAAACAGAATGCACTGTGTGTACGGCACAAAATGCTTTTTTTCTTACATTGTGTTAGATTTCAGTCGTGAAGGGCACTGTGGTAAGCGCTCTTGTTCAAAACTGTTGGCTGCAGCTAGCAGGATAGATGCTCTTAGAAAAAGGAAAGATTTTTCAAAGTTACACTTGATAAATTTGATGTCAACTCTTAATAAATCAATTAGAGGAAGAATTATAGTATGGAAGAGTTATCTTATTTTCTAGGGTCAGGAAAATAACTGTAATCTTTTTGTTTCCTATTCACTTTTAGTTCTTCTCTCCTGCAACCTGACTCAGTCGTTTTCATTTGCTGCCATGTTGAAAAGACATTCTAGTATGAGAAAACTCAATCTAAGGAGCTCTGGAAAGAAATCTCTCATCATCTGTGTACTTCTGGGTAGTAGATGTTAATTCAATCTGAAATCTTTTATCTTTTGTCATTAGCTGTTGCTTATCCTGGTTGTTTGTCAGAGATGTATTGCACTTGTTATATGGCTGGTTCCCTCTCTATTTTTATTCTTTAAATTGGTTGCTGGATTTGAAGAGATTTTGTTTCTTTGCTTTTTTTTTTTTTCCCCTGAACCAGTACCCATTACTGTCCATTTTGTGTGTGATCCAATGAAAACAGGGCACCTGCTTTACCTGTTGATGTATGTTCTAAATAGAGTAAGATGATGAAAAACTAATCTGCTGTTTGCCTTTCTTACAGTGGGAACATGACTTAAAAAAGATGTTTATACTGGTAAACAATCCACCTTTTTTGTGACTGCTTTTGTTGCTTATTGGTCTCTCTCTGCCTTTTCTAAATTTCAAGGCTTTTGTTTATTTGTTTTAATTCAAATCCACCATTGGCCTGTACACAACATCTTGCAGTTATTTCTGGATGTTTTGCACAGGCCGGCCTCTTTCTTGAGAATTCTCTCTGCCAAGAAGAATTTTTAGCTATGTAGCATATTTTGTATCACCATTCTTCCCATCCTGCCCACATAAGTCTGCCCTAAACCACAAGCAACTAGGTAGGAGTAAGAGCAGTCATGTGCCTGCTCTAATTTCTGCCAGTTTCAGGCATCTGGCTGTACCCACTAGCAGGAAAATGGTTCAAGTCACCTTTCTTTGCCTCCTTTTGCACCTTGATCTTTCTCTATTATGTACTGAGCTTGAAGCTCCACCTATTCATTTTTCAAGAACTCTCAGCAAGGAAATCCCCTGTGTATGTCAGGCATAACTACTGTAAAACAAGAGAAGGATGTTTTGACTAACTGCTTTTTTTGGCGGATGTCCTCTTTAGTGGCTTCTCACTTTAAAATATGGCAAGTGACAACACTTGAAAATGTACAGTGATGTATCACAGATAGCAGAATAAAAAGCTCTTTTTCAGGACATAAAGCTCTTTTTTTTTTTTTTTTCCCCAATTGGTATTTTACCTTCTATTTTGTCAACAAAACCACATTAAGCATAGATCAGCTGAACAATTTTATTTATGTTATAAAATTGTTTTTTAAAACCAGGAAGTAAAGTGTTCAAAATTCACAAAATCATGGCATCCTGAAATACAAACAGAATATGAGTGGGCTTTACTTGATGTAATTTTTATTATTTTTTTTCTGATGCAATTTTTTTACTTTTTCTGATACCCCTTAATGGGATTTTTATGATAACATTGCTAGAAAACCAAAAATGTTTTCTTGTTATCTCCAGAAAAATGAAAAGTACTGCTGTATTGGTTATTCAAAAAAACCCTGCAAAACAGAATAAGAAATGGAAGTATAAAAGCACAAGATTTTAAATACGTATTGTAAAGAATATTTACAAAAGCTGTTTTAAAAACGTGTGGTATTTGATGAACAATAATGATTCACAGACTGCTAGATTTCAGTAATGGGAATTTTCCTTTCCACAATCTTATATCTACTGCCATTGTAGGATTCTACAGACACAAGCGGAAAGACTTTGGCCCATTTGGGTGATTCAGTCAGAGCTCTTTCTCCATGCTTAATGAAAACAGTATTTTTTAGTATCTCAATTAGTTATAGAAGTAAATTGCAATCTTTTAAAAATGTGAATGATTTGGCAATATTATGGGGGGACTTTTTGTTTATGTATTTTTCGATCATCACAGAGCTTTGAGTGATATCCTATGCATTTTTGCCAGAAAATACAGTGCAGAAAGTCTAGATTATGAAGAATGTCAAAGACTGCTTTTATCAGAAGGAACCTGGTAATGCTGTTTTATGCACAGCTACTGGCCTGCTCCTTACAAGCTTCTCAACATAACTAGCAGAAAAAATAATACAGCATGTCATCACTTCAGGTAGTACATAGTGCTTACATTGGGAAAGTTCTCCCCTCACTTCTTGCAGTGAAGATCGTACTGGTCTTTGTCTCCTATCTAGAGAAAGCTGAAGTGTTGATTTAACAATCAGAAAACTTAGGTTCCAGGTCCCTTTATCATACTAACATTAAAGATTATTACACTGTGAAAAGGTATTTTCCAACTGTTGCTGAGCCAGCCAGGGGAGAGTGTTAATGCTCACAGTTAGAGCACACTGTGCTTTTCTAAGAGCTTGTACAAATGGGGATGTGTTCCGGGAAATCTTGTAGTAAGAGCAGATTACGTGAGTGCAGATGCAAAGCAGAAGGACCATGTGCTGTTGCTGCACAGAGTGAAGGTCAGCAAAAGAACACACGTTCTGCAGATAGCTGCAGAAAGCTACACAGTCTAGCTGTATAAGAAGCGGACTTTTGTTTTGTGTAGAGTTTTCTGGTTTTGACAATACTTACATTCCAGAGTGGAATGAAACCAAAAGCATTTCCTGTGTATCTAAAAAACCCCACATCCTTGAAGCCAATCTAAATACTTCAACTTGATAAAATCAGGATGTTTAATTATGTTTGAACATTTTTTTTCCCACATTTTATATTCTCTAGTCTAATTTAATCAAACTTTCCCCTAACTATTTTTTATTTGGAAAGAAAAATAGAAATATTCAATTTTGAATAGGCTAAGGTGAAATATTTGGGCTATGCATAATGCTTTTTTTTGCAGTTTTCCATTCATAATCAATTTTTGTCAAAGGTAATGCACTTCTGTGAAATGTTTTACTTTTAATGAATTTATATTTCCTAGCAGTACTCACAAGGTCCACGCTGTTAGTACTACCAAAGATCTGATACATTATCTTGCCAACTTCATAACGGGTTTGCTACATTTAACTTCTTACTGTCTTGAACTCAATCTTAAATGAGTCAGGCAATGGGGATTGCATAATTTCTTTGGTATCATTATTGCCCAGGTTAATTACTTTCCCAGCTAAGAGCAGAGGTAAGCAGAGAACTTTCAATGAGTAACTTACGATTTACAAGTTTGGATGGCAATATTGGCTTGCACTTCTCAGGAGATGCCACATTCTCTTCATCTGTTACATACTCAAAGTTAATAATAAACATCATCGCTACTCCCTCTTGATTTTTCACTGGAATTATGTGGGTGTTGCAAATGAAGGTAGATCCTGCAGATGGAGGAAAAAAAAAAAGAAAGAAATACATAAATTAAAGTAAACTTCACTATTTTTTCACTCCAATAATTCCAGTTACACCAACAACTAGTGAAGAATATTTTTTGAATATAACGATTGAACATCAAACACACTATTCTTTAATTTAAATAGCAACATTTTCATAGAAAGAAATACACCTTTTGATAATTTATTAGATTATTACCTCTTCCAAAAGATCTCTCCTTTAAAATGTCAATTTTACGTTTTGTTTTTTATATCGACAGACTTGCAATATGGAGACATTTAGTACCAAAAGTAGCAATGCGAACACTGTTCCAACCACAACACTAGCAAAGAAAGCAGAACCCTATTCTTCTAAATGTCAAACATTCTTCAAGCTTTTGGTTCTATTACAACAGGATGATTCATGCATTAAATATTTATGGGTGTAAATATATCACTATTCTTATTTTAGCTCTCAATCTTTTGGGCGCTGTATGATGTTGTTTAGGTTTGTGTTAAAAATTATATTTGTTATCTGATCCTATGGGCTTTTATATTCTATGACAAAAAACTTCTAAATTGTGGTAATAATTTGTAATAATTTTCAGAAGTATTTGACTTAACTGTTACATACAATTTGAAGTATGAATTTAAAAGTACCCTAGTTTTCATATATATGGAGCATACCCAGCTTATACTGGAATGAACAGAAGGTGTAATTTCTCAACACCTCTGGTACTCAGGGTGTTCTTGTTCAAATTCCTAATTACAGATTTATAGAATTCTTTGTGTTAATTTTTCCAGTATAACTCTTAAGAAGTTTCATTTGACAAGGTCATTAGTTTTGATCTAATTCCTTCTATTAACCTAACAAAATATAGTGGTTCCAAAAATAATGTGATTGCTGTAAGGAATACAGTAATGTGCTAAAAGCTTCATGCAAACACCACTGTGAGAATGGTGTCTTTCCATGATAAATAGGGACTGGTTTAATGTACATCATCTGCAATTTATGCATTCAAATGCACTAATCCCTGAAACTTGACAGGGTGTGCAATTTGACAAAAACAGATCCTGATCTGGATTACACAAGAATTTTTTTTTTTTTTTTCTCCATTGAGGAGAGAGAGTAAAGATTTATGTCATTATAAACAAGATCACATTCTGGCTCCTCGTATTTAATGTAGTGCTTGCTATAATGTGATATATATGGCAGTTTGAGCTATGTATAAAATTGACATGCTGGCCTTTCAAGTTTTGCAGCTGTACCTTCAATCCATTTAATAAAACAGTTAGGCTGTGGCACTTGCCACAGTTGCCATGGTTACAAGCTCAATGACTTTAGTAAACAGAAAATAAGCAATTTAAGACTGTTCCATTAGAGCTAAAAATAGAAGTGCTGCAGGCCAAGCATTGCAACATAGACTGGTTAAACAGAGGGTCTGAAGAGAATTTAGAAATAATCTTTGTGTTTTTAGCTAACTAATAAAAATACATATCGAGCTTAAACAGTCAAAATTATATTTATTGATTTGCTTGGAAGGAAATACTTACTATTTCATGATGTAGACTATGTTTTGACATGCAGATTTACAGGTTGAGCAGATATATCCCAATTGGACACCTTTGACATAAAGGGCCGGAGGTGGGGCTAGGCTGAGGCGTGCATGGCTTTGAAGAATACTGAACTCCAGTGGATCAAATGTTTATCAGTTTTTGCAAACAAGGATAACAAGGAACCTCAGACTTCTTTAAAAACTTTTCTGCTTTTGAAGGCAAGGGTGTTTCAGCTTTTGAAATGCTTCCCACAGTGCTAAGTAATGACACTATCTCCCGTTTATGTAGAACATTCCACGCTCAAGCATTTACAAACTGGAGCTAGGAATTCACATCTCTGGGGAGATGCAGAAGCTGTTTAATAGTCCACAGCTTAAGAATGTGGCAAAAAGAGCACAGGGTTAAAAATTTAAGATGTAGGTAGAAATATTTTGGGATCAAAAAATGGGAAAGATTCATATCTGGTATAATTCAGCATAGTTCCTTTGAAGACCAATTGCACCAGCAGGCTAATGAGTCCAGTGCAGTTTATGAGTCTGAAGTTTTTCCAAGATACCTGGGCTTTTCAAGAGGCATAGAATATTTACTTTGTGTGAATGACTGGAATTGGAATTCCACAACTTAACCAAAATACAATGCCTGTTGCAGTCACTATTAGTGTTTGTCTTTAGTACAGAAACTGTTATCTGCTATACACTTACCAGTATCTATCTCTATTGAAATGGCAATAAGGAAATACAAAATAACAAGGAAGACATTTGAGAAAAATAAGAGTTGGGTACAAAGAAAGAATGCTAGCAAATTCAAAAGATAAGCTTTGAGTTGTTGGAGTTGATGGCAATGAAGAAATATTAAGTAGTAGCTTGTTTATAAACAATCTTATTCAGTATTTGCACTCTGGCATTCCACTGCTCTTCATTGCACTCAGCATGCTTTCCCTGTTTTGTCTCTATACTGACTATTTCGAGAGTAAGAAATGCTTCTGATGAGCAATAAAAATTGTAATGAAGTTTCTGGAATTTGCATTTCTCATCTAACGGTACAGGGCAAGTGGATGATATAATCAGAATAATTATGAAAATTATACCTTTATAATTAGTAGATTCAATATCCAGCAATATATCTGTATCTTCTAAAGATTACTATTGAGGAGTAATCATGAAATATACCTGTTGTGCGCTCTCGTTATCATCATTGGAGGTGATAAAGAGGAAAAGCTGGATATTTTCTTGTCAGCTTGAATTCCGTGGTTATAAGGGCTTGTTTTCTTTGTCTATGGCATTTTGAAGCCCACTCTTTCATCCAGTTAAATTAGTGGCAAAATATCCAAATGTGAAGAAAAGATTCTGCTCCCCTATATCCTGTGTGGATATATGTGATTCTGTAGTTATGTATTCAACAGTATGATTTCACAAGACCAGACAGGCTGGTGTGAATCAAATAACTGCCAAAACATATGCATAAGTGACAATAAATATTTAAGAAATAAAGATTTAGGATATATTAGGATTATATAAGTATATATTGCACCATTTGAACAATTCTGGTGAAGCAAAGCCTATTAAATAAATCTAAATATCTGGCTGCATAGTGTTTATAAGTTGACTTGCTTCATGAGAGCAGTACAAAGCAGACACATCAAACCAACTAATCTGGTTCATAAAATCTATTTACCTTTCCAGTGATTTTCTATAGAAGATTTTAGGACAGATTTCTATCAGGCTGTATCTTCTATTTGAATTGTAATAGCTCTGTTTATGAGCAATTGGGAGAGGACAATACAATTAGTACAACAGTGAAGGCATTCCAAATTATAAAAGCCTCCATTCTCATATGCAAAACTGACAAGCAAACTTTGAAAAATGATACATCCCAAACAACTATTTTGATTCAGCCTTCCTGGGAAAAAAATTTTCACAGGCCATTACATATGCCAAGCTCAAAGGATCTGTGAAAAATGAGACACTGTGGCATTTAGGTAATTGTCCTAATTCTGCAGAAGCCCTACGTTTCACACAACAGGGACCCTTGAAAATCCAGTGTGGTTCTACAGGTTGGCTCTGCAGCCCCTCTTGCCCTGAATGAGTCTGACAGTTGCTATCTACATTTCATCATTAAAAAATTCAGACTTCTCCACCTCAGTACAAATTTGAGGACTGCCTTCACTGGGGCTGAGGCTGGTTCCAACATATTTTGGAACCAATCTTGGCTTCCTGCACCAAAGCATTTATGACTTCTCAGATATTTTTTGTTACTAGAGCTGCTGTGGACAACTGACTAAGGCTGTAGAAAGAAAGATGTTGAGCAAGTCCTCTGTGTGCATATATAAATTTCTGGACAGGTTGACCTCATACAAAAGTTTTCTAGGATTATGATAATTTTTTAGTGCTGCAACCTACAAGTAGTCCAGTGTAGGCATCTGTACAATCCGTAGCCACTTATGCTCATTTAAAATTGAAGGTGAGAAGGAATAAATCAAAACAGAACAAAGGAAGAGCCAACAACAGCTTGCCTACTAGAACAAGACCAAAGACAGTTAAAAATTAGAGGCAGAGATATTGTATATGTTTTCAGAGCTAGGCAGTCCAGTTCTCTGTTTGAAGACAGCTCTGAATGAAACATTTCTGCAATGTGACAATTTTCTGATAATATAGGGAGAAGAGAAGGAAGCTGGGTATTCTTTGCACTTTTATTAAATAATCAGCATGTTTATTTTGGAAATAACTACCCTCCACTTCCCCCAATATGATTCACATTTTGTCATCAAAATAAATGCTCAAAATGCCTTGTCTCAGAGGCACAAACTTAGAACATATTAATTACAAACATGGAGTTTATACCCTACATTTTAATTTAAAATCTTAAACTATCAGTTATAGTAGAAATGCTACTAAATACATTTCATATTAAATAATTTTTTAAGCTTATTTTTACTTCTATCAACATTCTACTGAAAAGGAGCACAGAAAAGTCTGTATAGTTCCCATTTTGTTAGTAATGAGGTGAAATATGTATTGTTTTCATAGGTTCATTTTTGACTAGTTACTCTGACATTATTAGAGTCTGATCACTGTTACACTAAGTAGTAACTGAATATTCCTCTGTTAAGAAAGAGTTGACTTCCACGAATACAAAGAACATCATGTAATAAAACATAACCAATGGCATTTTGTGATCTTGTGTTCATGTTTACAGCCTTATTTATCCTTTCATCATAGCATGGCTCATGGGGATTGCCCAATGTTAATAAGAACTTCTTTGGGGAAAGAAAAGAGAGATATTCTGAGGGAGAATTAATGTGGAGGACCAGAAGACCTTCTCTTGACTTTTCCCATCCTTCATGGACTCTTTGTCTTTGGGATGAGAAGCCAAGGCCTGGCTTTCTACTAAATCCTTTACTCCCCAAATCCAATATTCTCTTCCTCCCTAATGGACAAAAGAAGTATCTCTCT